TAAACAGTTTGAAGGTACACTCAATCAAACTACAAATGTTATAATAAGCGGGGGAAACAGTTATGTAAGAAAATAACTAATTAAATGCGCATAAAAATATACAGCTATAAATAAAAGATAATTTTAACTATGATTATACGTAAAGTAATATTTTCTAAGGCTGATATATACTAGTAAAACATTTATTATCACATTTGTCTGTTTTAGTGCGCATTAGTAAATATTAAATATTCATCTTCAAAAAATAACATGCATATTTTGGCGCACAGCTTTCCTAGGTTAGGCATTCCCCCCCCCCCCCCCCCCCCCCCCCCCCAGTTCAAACCGCATAAGACAAACAAACTCCGATTCGGTTGTAGCGTGGTAGCGTGTTTGTCTCGAGTGCTGGAGGTCGTGGGGTTAAACCTATGGCCGGATCAAACCAAAGAGTTTAACAAAATATAAAAACAGGTACTACAGATTGAACACGAATCTCGGGCCACCACAAAAACCGAAAAAAAAAATCAGAAATGTAAAGATATTCTAAAGATTTTTATTTATAGAAAGCAGCCATTTTTGTTGGTAGGTTGTAGAATAATCTCATCTAATTTTAAAAGAGATCATCAAAAAGGGATCAAATAAACAACTGCTCCTTGTATAATATAGTCTTACAAAGTATGACTTGGATGGAGAGTTGTTTCATTGACACTCATACCACATCTTCTTATATCTATTTACCAATTATGCACCCTATCCCGAGTGAATATCAGATGTTTATTTGAAGTTACCAAAGATATATCATTCTGTCGGATAGTTTTGTTTCATCTTTATTACAGTTTTCATTTGCAAACAAATATTTGTTTTGGGTAAATGTTACGGACAATATACACCATGCCCTCTAAGCCGACATCGTTTTTTTAATTTTAATGAAAAGAATTATTGAAAAGATTCTCTAAATTAAACCACTCTGCAATATGATATCAAAATTGTCACGTAGTTTCTTCTTATGTCCTACGAATTACAATGTATGTAATTGTTCTGTATCCCCCCTAATCCCTAGTAATTATTTGAAATGTTAACTTGGCATGCATACTTGATAGAAATGCGGACGTTAAGGAAAGCGTCAACAAAAATACAAATAAATGATTTTCAACATGAGATTACATTCCACGGAGGTAACATTTCGACGATTACGTCATTTATAAAACAAAATACGTGTATCCGAAAGGTGAATTTGTATTAAAGTTTAATGTTGATACCGAAATCTATCTCCTGGATGTAGAAAAAAGTATTTTACGGAGAAAAACTACAGCTCTAATTTAAAACTGCCCTCTTTTTGTTTGCATAGCAAAGACCAAAACCTTCTTATATAACGTTTAGATGAACTGTAAAATAACTTATACATTCACAATAATTGTTATTTCCACCAATTTGTCTTGTATTCTAATAAAAGCCGTTGTAAGGACATATCTATTCGTGTTTAAAAAAAAACCTACGTCGGCGGTTGACAAAGAGCTAGGCAAAATACAAAGACTTGATAGTTCATTTTTCTTCATTTTTGGTTTATCTGTAAATTGTTTTTGACTTGATATTCTTCAAGAAAATCATACTTCAGTTGCAAGAAGAGATTCATATAATGGTCTGCAGTCTTATATGTCAGGAAAAATAAAAAATACAATATGCGAAGTGACGTGGCAAAACTGCTTCGAAATCCATATTATTGTTTGGGACGTGCAACAAACTTGTGCAAGGCAATTCCAATATCAACAGATAATATGATGGTAGATATAGTAAAAAATTATTAGAAATAAAAAAAAAATAATTACAGAATTTTTATTTTTTTATAGCAGTTATATAAGTCGAAACAGTTATTTCGTCACAGAATCTCTATCGTACCTCGGAAATGACAGCGTCGAATCAGGATTCGCTTGTCTGCAAAAGTTTTTTTTTCGATGTGGCCACAGGCCTCGACCACGCTAAATATTTTTGGCAAACTAAGTCAAAGTGTCAAACAATTAAAATAAGATTAATTACTGTGGTCGAGGCCTGTGGCCAATGCGACATTTAACCAGGAAGTGTGAAATTCTTCAAGAATTTTGATATTTTGAGCGGTCTGGTTTGATTCCTGGTAATACGTCACAGTAATGACGTTATAGAAATATGATTTTACACGATAATAACAAATAAAGATATACGTAGATATGTTTTAGCTATAAAGGATCCACCTTATTTATTTTTTTTATTTTTTGTCATCTCACAGGACCAATATCGGCGCTTCGTTCCTTTCATCTGTTGTCATATGGGTTAATAATGAAATAAACTGGTTCAGAATTATCAATCCTGTGTAATAGGGGAAAGGACTGTTGACTAATGCTACGTCGCATTTACAAAACACAAGTCTCAACGTTACCACACATTCTAACAACGAAACGGCCTTCCAAATGACAGGATATGAAAAAAATCAGCTGTTATATTGTTTGTAGCAAACCCATATAGTGGAAATTTTAATCTACTAGTAGCAACTCAAACCATTATCACTAGCATGAACTTTGCGAGTGGAGAGTTACCAACAAGGTTTTCCAAGTTCATTATCTTATTACTAAAGTAGTTTAAATCGCAATAGCCGATCAACTCTCCAGTGTGCTTGCTGTACACTTAATCCTCCTGTATCTTTATTTCAAGTTCAATATCATCAAAGTTTTTATGGTTGTCTTCATACATAGTTGAAAAAATAATGTAATTCCGCATAGAATGAAATGACGAAGCCATCAAATGCCTTAAACAATTGACTTTGCACCGTACAACCGACCTGCATTACAGAAAATGTTCCCACACCACCCTATTCTTGAAGAGTATGTATTTCATTATATTTTCTCTTAACGAATTATTCTTTTATTGATCAAAGTTCTGTTTCACATTTTGTTTTACAAAATTATCTAAGCATCACCTACCCAGTAGCCCAGTTGCTTACTACTGACATGAAAACACGGATTAGTTTTTTCGTTTGCTGTTTTATAACTTGGAAAAACGTTTTCAGGATTTAATATACCTAGTGCTTAGCTCTTATTTCTTGTACGGGTTTTGCAATACTTTTGGTCCTTTTCGATAATATAATCTCTACAAAGTTTTCAAATATGATGCTTTATGCATTAACTTCGAATTGCGCATCTGCTCTGCTGTACTTAAATTAGCAGCGTTTAATGTAATTACACATAAGCTGCGAATTGCTTATAATACTACAAACCATGATAATGATAACTGTATTCACAGCATTCGATGATATGGGTTTTGAATGTCCATCTAAGTCAACAGCAGGTAATGAATTTCCTTTTCAATTACAGATATTTCATAGTAGCTTTGTAACTTTGTCATTCACTTTTAAGCAGCACCTCATATATTGTCCAAAAAAGGAATCGAAGGCCACTAAATATTGAAATTTCAAGTCCGATGTGAATTAAATTTTGGTTATTGAACAGGAAACGGTTAAGTGAATCTATATGTGACTATAGAATAATTGAGTTTTTTTTATTAATTTATGATGTAACATTATATGACTTTATACTTCAATCTCGGTTTTGAAAAAACTAAATGCATCTTTCATACATTAACATTTGACAAACATGAGATTGTTGGCAAAGTATATAAAATAGCGACTGTTTAATTTGATTTGTCACATATGTAATATATAGCAAACAGGTAAACAAACATGTTAATCAATGGTATAGAAAAATGGGTAGCACAATAACTAGGTGATAAACTTGATACCAAATGTGAATAACTGTGACGAAAAACGAAAATAGATTTTTAATGAACACATGACAAGGACAAGCATTTATTTGACATGCAACGTGGATAATTGTGTCATTGGCAATCATACTACATACCATTTGTAATTATGAAACCTTTTTGAACTAACTTCAAATATTTACGAGTACTCTTGAATAGATATTTTGTATCATGATTTCATTGGTTTATAAATCTTCATAGTTTTTAAGGGGAGTTGCGAATCTGATAACTTGAGAACTGCTCAACCAATGAATTGAAAAAAAAAGACGTAGGTATGATAAAGTTAGAGAAATTTAATCTTAGTGACGTCTTATCGTGCAATACCTTCAATTTTACGGAAATTTCAGGATAAGTCTTCCCCTAAAAAAAACGCTCAGTCACGGGGGCAAATCACGAAAATTGTTGAAACGTAGGGGGATTTTACTTAAAGAAATAAACAACAATTTTCCCATATGTTCATGCCATCAACATTTCAATGATTGCTAAACATTGCTGTTGAAGACCATTTTGAGAGAGAACAAAATCGAAAATGGTATATGTTTTAGTAAAATTTGTATTTGAGGATTGAATGATTGAATATCCAGTGAGACATATTTAAACCATATTCAAGACGAGAATTAATTAAAGACGTCCTCAACTAAATAAATATATTCACATCTAACAGAGCACAACAAGTTTGGCCTCAGTCATTGTAGTATGGCCGAAAACACATTGTATATCCTTAATATCCGAAGACTGAAAAAAATAATCATGTTGTCTGATTCCCCCCAAGAAAGGCCTTGTTTTAAGCTCAATTTAAGACATAGTAAATTGCATAATAATCATATCGCTTACTAATGGTTTTATCACAGGTACAGTTCACTTACGAGTGGACTGAAATTTTGAGATAAAAAAATACGAGAATTAGTCAAAGACGTCGTCAACTAAATGAATATATTTACATACACCAGATCATACAAGGTTTTGTCGAAGTCATGGAAGTATGGCCGAAATAAAATGCATCGCCTAGATGACCGTAGACTAAATCATGTTGTCTGATTCACCCCGAGAATAGCCTCGTTTTAAGCTCAATTTATGACATGCGTAAATTGTATTATAAACCTATCACTTACAAATTGTTTAATCACAGGAACAGTTCACTTGCGGTTGGACTGAAATTTGGAAGAAAATACTTTTTTTTAAAGATGTTCTGGGAAATAATATTCACTATTTCTGCTTTTTTTCTGATTCTTGTAATGATATTGAAATCAAAGAAAAGGACGAAAAAGAATCCACCACTTGTTAAAGGTCATGTATTAGTAGGCAATCTTTTCCAAATGGATTACGAAAATATGCATCGTACAATAGACAGATGGAGCAAGATTTATGGAGATGTCTTGGAGATAAATATCCTTGGACAAAAGTTAGTAAGCCTCAATACCTCCGAAGCAATTCGAAATGCATTTTTGCATGAACCTGCTGCTACTGCAACTTCTGCAAGACCTCCGACTTTTTTCGGAAAATATGCCTTGGATAATTTTTCTGACACAGCATTCGCTTCCCCAAGTAAACACTGGACAAATCGTAGAAAACTAGTTTACAAGTTGATGCATACATATGGTGAGGGCATTGTTAATATGGAAAATCAAATAAAAAAAAGTTTAGTTGATATGAAATTGGAACTAACTCAAGTAGATGGGAACTCCGTTGACCCGGCTATTATTATTGGAGAATTCATAATGAGCACGGTGGAACAGTTGGTAAGTCATGTACTAGCTGATAGAATAACGAAAAAAGATTGATTGATTATTTTTGGTTTGTTGAACCTCCTGTTGGCAAATATTTTATGCACCTTCACCTTCAACCACAAATTTACCAACAATGAAATAGGAAGGGAGGAGGTTATAGACTGCTCCAGAAAAAAGGGTTATGTTGGATAGGGACAGAACGTTTTCACCTTAAGAGTTGTTGCAAGCATAGCAATCTCCCTATAAAATAAATTGGATTAAACAACATTCTGATTGGACGTGACTGCGTATTTATACATCCCGCGCAACAAAACAGAAGCCGCACAGCCAACCAGAAGCCAGCCGGGTTTCACTGGATAATTAACTCGTTAAAGGCGACAAAAATATTGACCATTAAAAATCCCTTTTACAAAATCCAGTAATCTCTGCTAGGACCAATCACCTATCAGAGGTTTCCCGATTTGCTACCGTACCAACCGTATTACAATCAGGATTCTACTTCGTCAAAATTATCTCTCCATTACGCCACGTAATTTTTATAATCGTAAAAATAGAAGCCATTGTAGTGATGACGCGCTGTCAATTTAGCTCTTGAAAACCGATTAATTTATCCACATATCATCATTTCGATTCTGATATGCCATTTATATTTTAAAAGACAAATGTATCTACTAGCTATTGAGCATCATTTAATGTATATCTATGGATTTGGTCAACTTAAAACAAATTGTCTGATCTGTTGTCAGGGGAATTTTCAAAAATATTTTGATAAATTCTTATTAAATATTTCGTGGAAGGGCAGACTAAGAATTTTCAGAGGTTGATACTAATTACCCTAGATAACACACACAAACAAAAAATTAAGTTTTTTGAAGTGATGCATTTTTAAGATCCACTTGTAAAGTCTGTCGTCAAGTACTTTTAGTAAACTTTTGTTATTCGAACACAACTACTCTGTAGATATGACTCATTAAAAGAACTGTAAGTTTTTTAATGTCATTATATCAACATATAGCCTAGATATATAAAAATAATAGAATCTGAAGCGAGATGATGTATCAAGTATTTTTCTTTTATACGTTATCAAGACAGCATAGTCAACCCAAACACGCCTTAACATAAAAAGGTGTACTTGATTTTCTCTTTTAGATGAAATTATTGCCCATTTTGGGGATTTTTTCCCAAAAAAACTGTCGCCAGGGGCAGAAATGCAAACTAATGCTATAAAAAGATCAATCTATTATCTTTCTTTGGATTTTTTTTTCCGCAGAATTTATGCTTATGCACAAAAAAGTTCCACATGTATTTGCACCTACTACAATCGACTGTTTTGTGAAAATTGGTCTATAATTTAAAAGTAAAAATATTTCGAAACTTCATTCCATAATTTAAGTAAAAACACATATATAAGATGCAATAAAATTCTAAATTATGCACATTCATTTAACTTTTAAAACCCATAGAAACAGATGTAAACAATTCAAATCTACCAACTTGGCCTGTTTTACCTTCTCTAATAAAGAGTTCCATTTCTTTTGTTTAATTTTAACTGGGTTTCCGTCTGAGTACGAACTGGGAGCCGTCATTGAACTTTTGAAAATAATTCATATATGCCCTAAATGTATGTTTTATGAATCATTATCAAAAATATTTGGAGGATTTTTTTGCAACAACTTATTATTATTTCATGAGGATATTTTTCCTATTTATAGCATACGATATTGTTTGCACTCGATTTTGCTTTCAACCAACCATTACAAGTAACCGTTGCACGAACGGTTTATAAATAAGATTTATTTACCATGAAATTGCACAGGCAAAAAGAAGCTAAACAGAAAGCACAGTCATATTTTTTCTAATGTTCGCCTGTTATATTGATATAACAGTATAGAATGAATAGGTTGGCATATTTTTGGGTAGGCTTTTAGAAAACATGATAGACTAAGAGCTATTTAAACATAAAAAGTTTACCTTATTAAAATGTATTAATGATGAACATAAATACAAAATCGATTGCGCATTTGCGCTTTTGTTTTCACCTACATATAAAAACCTCCTGTGCAAGTCAACTTAAAGTATATGAAAATACAAAACTCGACTGAGCAAATCTCAAGGTATACACATAAACTTACGTCATATCGGTGTTCAACTTTATTATCAAATAATCCGTATCAATTCTCCTTATTCTTTAATAGAATTTAATATTGTCACTAATTTGAGTAGTTCAAGTTCATTATCTCTACCATTCTTATATTTTTCTGCATTTTCGCAAAAATCGTCATACACACGTATGAGAAATTTAACTAAAGTTAAAGTACGAAGACAGGGTCAAATGAATTATGAATACAGAAAAAGCTATCACATTAAAAGATATTGTTTTTGGCTATAAAATATCAGATAAATATTACTTTGGCTTTAACTATCTTATTACTACTATTGGATTTTCAATTTATAAATCCTACTATGTATCTGAACAGAAAATGAAAAGACTTGATGTATTTTGTCTATTCATTAGAGAATTTACAAAATGAATGTATTATACAAAGAAGTTAGAAGAAGTTTAATTCTAAGTTAATGTAAAAAAAAACATTTATTAGATTGATGTCTTATTTATTAATATAATAGAATTGAAAATTATACTTATTCTTCACAAGGAGCTTGGACTTGTTGAAGACAATGTAACAAGCAACTGATGGAAATAAAAAAAAAAAAAAAGAGTCAAATAAAAGATACGCTAATAAAATATTCAAAGAACCCGAGTGCCAGTACAATTTACTTTAATTAGATGACAATTGCTCGAGTCTTTTTTAAATTCAATGATTCAAGACATTGGTGTTTTTATTTCATCGGCATCAGAAAAGTGAATATTTATTTTTCAATATTTTTTAGTGTTCTATTTTAGAATGCATTTCTAGAAAAAAAAATCTTCAGTTGTTGATATAAAAAAAAATGAGAAGAGTGCCCTTTTACTTAGATTACTTCAATAATAATAACAGATATCAAAATCTTGCAAGAACTTATCATGAAATCAACACAATTTTGACATTTTAACGAATATAACCAACGTGTAACACGTGCTTTAGAAAGTAGTTCATAGACATTATTTTAATTATTCCAAGTTTGTTTATACATAAGAAATTTTTTTTCTATAAATAAACAAAACAAAAACAATATCTATAACTAAAACAGAAACGCAAATCTATATTTAGAATATAAAGGCCGTGTTAACTCAGTTTGTTAAGGTCTGTTTGATTCATGCACTTGTGTACAACTACATAATCTCATAAAGAATCATAAACAAAGTGTTTAAGAAACGTTGAAATCGTTTTCAAATAAAATGTTATGCTTATTTTGTTCTGATATGCATTTCAATTTTTAAAATTTTATCATGATGAATAAAATAATCTCATGCATTAAATGATACCTCCAAAACCACGCATGGTAAACCATCAAATCTCAACCAAATGGTTAAGCGAGAAAACAGTTTACTGGATGCAAAATATCAAAAATATAGATAGGGTAGGTCGACTTTTCATCCATGTATTGTCAATCTGTAAATATTTTGTTAAATAGGAGAATGTCATGCCATAGATAACTAAATGAGAGCTTATCTCGTTCATTACTCGGACCAATCTAATTTAAAAGGACATCGGAATGACTTTTCTCCCGCAGGTTTTAAAGTGCTGCCAGTTCAGTGCGTTTTTGACAAAATGACAGTAAGATCATCAATACGTAAGGAATATATCAGTATATAAGTGTTTTTCTTAATCCAGGTTTTTTTTCTATTTCTTACGGATTTAATTTTATTAAGCTGAAAATGTTATAAAGTATGTCAAGTTGAGATTGTCTGGTATCGGTTGTGATATTCTGGAACAAAGTTGAGATCTACTGTTGAATAAAACTTTCAACTAGATACGTATCAATCGAATGCAACCGTCAAAATTCATGAACTTTCTGTATAGTGGTTGTCACTTTAACTTGTTTCTTGTTTTGACATTAGTTTTATATGGAGTCCTGTTGGTATAAAACAGATACCAAAGAGATGTGTTTTTAAAGTCTAGCTAACGAGATAGAAAGTCTAGCGCTGAAGATTTAAAGTCAAGCGCTGCAGTTTAACGTTCGGTGTAGTAGATGCAATTTCCAGCGCAGTAGATCTTAATTTTCAGAGCTGTAGATGGATAGTCCTGCCTGGCGTCCTAACAAATAAAGCTTGCTGTTGTGTCATGTATTTGCATATGTATGGAAACAGCATCTTCCATAGATTTTATTTACAATAGGTAAAACGGTAAAATATAATCTCTTTCAGGTGTTATCTAGGAAACAATTTGCATTTATTTGAAACAAAATATTACAAAAAGGGGATGAAATGTCACATATGTCCCAAAACTATGGTCCAAAGTAGAATTTCAATCCATTTGAGAGACATTTTTTCTGAAACATTGACATTTATCTATCTAGATGTCAAATACTGAAAACCATGTGCATTTAAAATCAATGTTCATATATGTTCTTCAGCTACTTAAGAATAAATTTCATTGCACACCTTCTTTCTTATTTGACATATTTTCTTATTTTGCCGAATTGCGAAATGTGTATTGCTACCAAATACCTACAGCGCTCGATTTTACATCTTCAGCGCTAGACCTTACATCTTGAGTGCTAGACTTTTAATTCTCCAGTGTTTGCTTAACATCTTCAGCTCTTCCGCGCTAGACTTTACATCTCGTTTTCTAGGCTTTGAAAAACACTACTCTTTAGTATCTGTATTAGAGGATCAGCAGGACTCGATCATACAAAACTAATATCAAAACAAGAAACAAGTTTAACTGACAACCACTATACAGAGGGTTCACGAATTTTGACGGTCGTATCCGATTGACAATTAGCTAGTTGGAAGTTTTATTTGACAGAAGTTCTCAACATTGTTCCAGAATATCACAATCGATACCAGACAATCTAAACCTGACATACTTTATAACATAATCAGCTCTTCAGCGCTAGACTTTACATCTCGTTTTCTAGGCTTTAAAAAACACTACTCTTAAGTATCTGTATTAGTGGACCAGCAGGACTCGATCATTCAAAGCTAATATCAAAACAATAAACAAGTTATACTGACAACCACTATACAGAGGGTTCACGAATTTTGAAGGTCGTATCCTATTGACAATTAGCTAGTTGGAAGTTTTATTTGACAGAAGTTCTCAACATTGTTCCAGAATATCACAACCGATTCCAGACAATCTCAACCTGACATACTTTATAACAAAATCAGCTTGATAAAACTATATTCGTAAAAAATAGAAAAAAAAACCAACTGTAATTATTTGCTTATAGTGATGAAGAAGAACACTTATATACTCATAATACGTTACGTATAGATGAACTCACCGTCATTTTGTCAAAAACACACTGAGCTGACCGCACTTACCTGCGGGAGAAAAGTCATTCCAATGTTATGTTAAATTACATAGGTCCGAGGAATGAACGATTAGCTCTTATTTAGTTATTTATGGCATGACATTCTCCTATTTAACAAAATATTTACAGACTGGCAATACATTGATGAAAAGTCGACCTACCCTATCTATATTTTTGAGATATTTTGTACCAGAAAAGCTCAACAGGAAGTGCCAGTAAACTTTTTCTCGCTTAACTATTTGGTTGCGTTTTGATGGTTTACCAGGCGAGAAAACAGCACTCACCGTTGAGTTACGTACCAACTGTACCTGTTACGTAGCAAACCGGGAAACCTCTAACAAGGGCTAGATTACTTTCGTTTTTTAGCACTGTAACTGTTTATTCTATTATCTACGTGAAGCTGGGAATAGCCAGTTATCAGACTTATCACTTTTTTCCCGGTCATATATACAAACTCACAAATCGTAAACACCTGTCAAAATCTAAAAAATACCTCAATTGTCGACGGCGTTCGGTTATAACAGATTACAATGTATCACAAATCGAAATAAATGAATGTGAAAAACATAGAAGTACAAAAATCAAAAATCAGAAAACAACAGAATATGCATAGGATACCAGATGCGGATCCAGGATTAGGGAGGGGGACGCAAGACAACGTAAGGAGTATGACTTGTAAAAAGTGTATGCTGCTTTAACCATATATGTAGCTCCTTTAGGGCCACTCCCCCTCCTCCCCCCCCCCCCTTATCCACTTTTGTGTACCGAGGTACAACTTCGGGAGTTATGAATATGAACTATTTTGTTTATAAATACCATCAATGTCAAGCTATTACATGTATATGTATATCTTTGTAGATCGTAGGTCGTAGTTTTGGAAGAGACAGTAAACTGAAGAAACTCCTACGACAGGTGGATTACAATTTCAACATGCTCAGTAATTTAGGCATGGATGTTCTGTTTGGAGTGTTTCCATTCCTTCGTTTTTTTCCGTTGAAGCATTCAAATATGTTAAGAGAATTTGAAGATCAGAAGAACGAGATGATGGATTTACTTGCGAAGATAGCGGTAAAAATATTCCATATTTATTCAAATATCAACCCCTAGATTTTGGTGGGGGTTCGAATTGCTTATTATTTAGTGCTGTGTTGTGTCTTGTCGTCGTTTTTCGTATTTTGGCATGATTTTGTCGGTCTCTCTTCGACTTATATTTTTTTTTCTACCTTTGGTATCATTCTACACTTTTCTTTATAGTTATTTAAGCTTTTCCTTAATCTATACATCATTGCATTGCAACAGGTACCAGCTATACAATATTGGTTTGGTCTTTGCATGTTAAGTCTTTGATCAAATTAATACACAAATATCCTTTCTTTTCCAATATGAATGGAATAAAAAAAAACATAACAGTAAAACTCTTTTAAGTTCACATTTGAATGAGGAAAATAACACGATTTATGGAATTTTGAAATCTTCAAACCATTTATCATTAAAATCTTCGCTACCAAATTTCTTGCTACTGAGATGCTGAATTGAATTGATAGCTCACTAACAGCGACACAGACCCTGTGGTGGGTAGAACACTGTATAACACTGACTTCAGTGCCCACAGCACATGAACACATATATATAAGCACCAACAACAAAACTCAAACACTATTCCATGTCAGTTTTGTAAAAATACAAATTTGGAAAATGCACTTGCTTGGAAGTTATTCATATTATATTTGTGTCACTACCGAAAAAAAAATTAGTAGAGGGTGTTTAAAAGAGGGACGAAAGATACCAGAGGGACAGTCAAACTCATAGATCGAAAACAAACTGACAACGCTATGGCAAAAAATAAAAAGACAAACAGACAAATAATAGCACAGATGACACAACATAGAAAACCAAAGACTAAGCAACACGAACCCCACCAAAAACTTGGGGTGATCTCAGGTGCTCCGAAAGGGTAAGCAGATCATGCTCCACATGTGGCACCCGTCGTGTTTAAATGTTTACCTTATTCTTATATTAACAATGAAGTTATATTTCTGCTAACATCTTTTTACCTTTAGAAAGAAAATCCAGAACATAAGGGTGTGTATCAAAACATGATGGCGGAGGTAACAAAGACAGATAAAGAAGAAAGGCCTCGATTGAATGTAGTAAATGTCAAAGCAACTCTATTGAATGTAGTTTCAGCAGGTATTTATTTGGAATATATTTTTTCTTCCAAAACAATGCTGTTCTGTAGATTAGGGAAACACAGGCCTGGTTTTTACAAACAATCTAAGAAACTGACGATTTGTCTCTATCAGGCAAATAAACAACTTCATCGTTTATTCAGATAGTCGTATTTATTTAAGAATTGAATGCTTCTTTTTATGATTTTATTGGGATATTAAAGCATTGACAGAAACACCTTTGTATTCCGCGCTTCATATTGAAAATGTGCGCCGATCAACGATTTATCAACCCTATAAAACTAAAAAAAGAGCATTCAATTCTTATAAATAAATTTCTATCCTACAACCATAAAAGTAAAAGTTATATCACCAATTTCGTTTGTTTTTCAGTGCATTATTTTAACATGGTCACAGATAGCACGTGCAATCATAGCTAAAAATAAGAAGATGTGGTATGTGTGCCAATGAGACAACTCTCCATCCAAGTTACAATGTGCAAAAAGTAAACAATTATAGGTCAAAGTACAGCCTTCAACACGGAGCCTTGGCTCACACCGAACAGCAAGCTATAAAGGGTCCCAAAATGACTAGTGTAAAACAATTCAAACAAGAAAACCAACGGTCTAATCTATATAAAAAACGAAAAACGAGAAACACTTATGAACCACATCAACAAACGACAACCACTGAACAACAGGTTCCTGATTTAGGACAGGTGCAAACAAATGCAGCGGGTTTAAACGTTTTATCAGGCGCAACCTTCACCCTAACCTGAAATAGTAGTGTAACATTACAACATAAAAAGACACACTATCAAATATCAATTGAAATGACTTAATTCAATCAAAAAGACATATTAACAAAAACAAGTAAACATACACCGAACAAATAAATTTGATTTATGACACACTAAAAATACAATATCAAATAAAAAAAGGGGAGATGTAAAACAATGTCAAAAAGACCACTATAACCTTGGACAAAATGGCGTTTAATAAAATAACGGACACAGGTAAAGTAAAATATAATAATTTTGTTGTTAGGAGTACGGAAATATTTTTTACAAAATAAATAAATTTGTTGTTCACAGTACGAGAACAGAATTGAAAATGTATCGCCATACTAAATACTTAAATAAAGGTGGTACATATCAAAAATAGTGAGACGAGAAAAAACACAAAATAAGTAAACATTGAATAACAAAAATGCATTACAAATTGTTTCAACAGGTCAAATAACACGAAAGTACGATTTGAGAGTACTCGCAGTTACTGAAAGCTAGTTAAAAGCAAAAAACAAATTAATAATAAAAAAATCATGCATCAGAGATTAAAATCAACTAAAACACATCCCAGGGATTTAGTGTTTTAACGCCATGGACAGTCAAAGAAGACATGACTTGTGCAATGCCAAAATAAAAGTATCGACAGGCAGTAGGATAGTTAGGTTTTAACCTTGTAATAAATATGTACAATGTTATATATATATATAAAGCAATCTCTATATAGAAAATGAACGGTGATGTGTATTTATACATCCCCCCCCCCAAAAAAACAGTCGAAAATGCCAATGTAAACAATTTCCAAAGATCTTATTACACTATTAATAAGATAACCTTTACTAATAAGTTTGTTTAAAGGTTCGATGAGTTTACACGGATCGCATGTTGATTTCCGCGTACAGCCACATTTACTAATCAAATCTTTGTATCTATGAAAGAATTTAGTAAAAGTTTTAAGTAATTTATGGTAACGAAATCCCTGACTTAATAATTTACCAATGATGCATTGATTACGTTCGTTAAAATCTATGACATCACTACAAACACGGGCATAACAAACGAGTTGGGATATATAAACACCGTATGATGGAGACAAAGGAACATCGCCGTCTAAAAAAGGAAAATTTACAATAGGGAATGAAAAATTGTCTCTTTTGTCGTAAATTTTAGTATGGAGTTTCTCTTTAGAAATTGAAATGTCTAAATCTAGAAAAGGACAACTACTGCTGTTTATGTTAGATTTATTTAAAATAAGTTCCTTTGGGTAAATTTTGGTAGTATATTTAGAGAACTCTGGATTATTTAACAAAAAAATATCATCAAGATAACGGTAGGTACTGTTGAATGTGTCAACTAAATGTAACAATGACGTGTCTTTACTGAGTTTGGTCATACACTTAGATTCATACCAAAACAGGAATACATCTGCTTTTAAAGGGGCACAATTAGTGCCTATAGGATGTACTATTTATGCGGAAATAAAATATGACATTGAATTGCATTGCGATTGTTGTCAGCAAATCAAAATTACGAACTCTAATGAAACATACATGTAATGTGATTATTGTTGTTAAGTTTTAGGATAATTATTTGATAATTTAACTCTCATTGCCTTTTTAGTCATATTTATGCCTGCCGTACAACGTCAATCTACACTTCTTATCGTCAACTCAAATGAAAATACAAGAGATAATGTCTGATCTAATCGAACGATAGACATGCACATGACCACAAGAAGCACGTGTTGATTCTGATTTGTCTATTAACAAATTTCGTCGGACGCATGAAATTTATAACGCTTTGTTTTCATGTTTTCTTCTCTGAAACTGCAAAAGCAAATACGTTGAAACTTTTTAAAGTAATGGTTATTTGATAAATGTCTATGTAGGATTTGCAAAGTGTTAATCAGATGGCAAATGATGCCAAAGACATTTAAGTGAACATTTTTGAAAATACTATTTTCAGCATCATATCTGATAAAGCATGTTTGATCTGAACAAAAATGGACATGAATTCTTGTTCTTCTGTTTGATTTAATTTCTCTCTTTTTTCAAAAATTATAATTTTTTTTCTTACAGAACAAAACCCATACCCACTAGAGAAGTTTATTGATTGTGACTGGCCAAAGTAACTTTTCCCTAACACTTATGAGGAAATCTATTTGATTTTTGTAGTATGATGATTTGATGATCCTTTTCAATATTTGTTTTGATTGGATGGTGTCAAAACGACAATTATATCATACATATGTTCAAAATGAACTCCACTTGAAATCAAAATTATGATCCTTTTCTCTGACAATACATTACTTATCAAATAAAATTTGACATCAATAGTGTGAATAAAAGTTATCCATTTGTTTTATTCGTCGGACTTAGAGGGGTGCCAGATGCCGTTCTTGATCAGAACGAAAACATTTTTTAGATCCTGGGGCCATATTTGACACCGGGAAATGATTCAAGCGAATAGCAACTGTTTCTTTTTTAATCATCTATTACAAATAACTCGTTTTATTGTAAAACATACTAGATTGATATGCATTTATTCTTTGTAGGGTATAATACAACAAGAGGTACACTTCTTTCACTGGTTCATATCCTCGTAACACGACCGGAACTTCAAAAGTTACTACAGACAGAAATTGACAATGTCATTGGATCTGATAGAAAACCAACTCTTCGAGACAGAGAAAATTGTCCGTTAATCGAATCTGTTCTGTTGGAAACCTTGCGATATATATCACACATCCCATTATCAGTATTTCATTTCACTGCAGATGATTGTCAAATAAATGGTTACAGTATACAGAAAGGAACGACTGTAAGCATAATTGTAAAGAGGTATTTCCCTTGAATTCGATACACTTACGGTGTCACAAAATTAAGTAAAACATGCTAGAATTTGAATCTCTATTATATATTTAAAAGATTAATAAAAAACCATAAAATCAAGATGTTATTCAACGCTACCCATTACTCCTTTTTGATAGAGTTTTGCACACTGAACATGTTGTTGTAGAATTTACAACCACAGGACATCAAAACTTAACATGAATTAATCGATAGTTTAAAGATCATACATAACTTACCCCCAGTGTAATGACATTTTGGTTTTGGTGAAGAGTGTCATTATTCATATTTTGGATAGTAAACATTTGGCTTGATATTCAGAAATATGAAAAAATGTTGTTTTTACCTTAAATGACACATATTGTGAAGCGGTGATACTAAGATTATAGTAGAGATAAAGAATTTTTTGAAAAAAATCATAATCCAAAATCAAATCAAGGAAATTTGGTTCTACCTATTTATGTCTGACCAAGAAGATTGTCTTATGTCTCCTACATCCTGATTAGTCTGACAAAGTTTTCAGAATATAATGTATCACTATCTAGAACTTGGTCGATGCCACTTCTTATGGTCTATTACCCCAAGAGGATATCATCAGCTCAGTAGTCAATGCTTCGGTTCTGAAATTATTCATCAAATGCGTTTCTTAAACTTTGCGTTGATAAATTTTGAAATTAAAAACAAAACGAAGGTTACAACTTCATCAGGCAAAATTTATCATAGGAGATTTTACTATTCTTTTGATGTCTCTTTTCGTCTTCAGGCTGTTCATGTTTAAATACATTCTCAGTTTTTAAAATGTTTGTTTGTGTGAACTTTCCGGATGAAGTTAAATCCAGAAAAGAGCTTCGGAAGCACCAATTTTATAAAATGTTATTTGCATTGAAAAATAATTTTGCATTTATGTACACCATATAGATACATATATATTTAATTGTGTACTCTGCTAATAATCGATTCCTAACTTCAGAAGTCAAAATCCAAACAGAAGCTGAACGCCGTTATGATCTGAAAATATATAGGATGAACAACAAGTCATTGTAAAAGTATGACAACAATGATAAAAAAGAAGAATATATTGTATGAATACAAACTTAAAAACTATATAATTATAGATTATCGTTGGTCATCTCAACGAGATGGATTTTCTCGCTTGAGCCGGCACGGCGAAAGTGAGAAAAGCAATCGAGTTGAGATGACCAATAATAATCTGTTTATCGCTATTTTACCTATGACGACGTTGTTAATTTCATTTGCATATCACATTTTCATATCACACTACTGTGCTGAGAAAAAAAAATTATCAGTCAGTAAGATCAAAGGAAAATTTCGTAAAATAGCGATAATAGATTATTTTTTCATTTTGCAGCTTAAGCTTGTACATCCATAAATTTCGTTGTATTATATCTATTTTCAGATAATTCCAAACCTTTGGACTGCCCATCGTAATGATAAAGATTTTGAGCATCCATACACATTTATTCCTGATAGATTTCTAAATAAATCTGGTAACTTGGTTCCAGCAACAGACCCACTCCGGAAAAGGTATAGTTTGTTATCAAGCTATTATGAAGACATTATGAAGACTGAAGCGTAAAATGTGTCCTAATACTCATCTAAATATTGTCTGTTACTGATATTCACAACTGGTTGACTATAAATCCATCATCGGCATTTTTCAAACCTAAATCTTGCTTATCATGTATAGAATAATAATAATCATCTTATAAGATAGCAACAAAAAGATGTATATTTAAATTACAACTTAAGGCAAAGTATACGTAATTGGGTTATATTTGAATTAAGTTTGTATACATTTGACACTCGTAGCACTGTATCCGAATACCGAAAATATGATAGATGTGAACCATTTATACTTCCAGACAGACATCAATAACAAATATATGAAAAAGGTCTGTAACTGTAACGGATATTCGTCAAAAGCGGCGAAAATATACATTTTCAACATTTAATAACGATTTTTCTGAAAAATTTAGTTTTGTTTGAAATATTTTTTTTATTGCTGTTAACAACTCTATTTTAAAGATATGAAAATATCACCGTTCTATGCATACAAAACTAGTAAAATAACAAAAATACCAAACTCCAAGGAAAACTCAAAATGGAAAGTCCCTCATCAAATGGCAAAATCAAATGTTTAAACACATCAAACGATTGAAAAACAACTGTCATATTCCTGAATTGGTACAGGCATTTCCTTTTGTAGAAAATGGTGGATTAAACCTGGTTTTTAAACGTGGTAAAAGTGCAAAATACAACCGTATACTTTGCTTTAAGTAAAACTCATACATACTGTGGTGTTGTTCATCTGATCTGCAAAACATTTAAATATAACGACGATATTGAATTAGTTTTAGAGAAAAAAAGTGCAATCTATTATATATATTATAATTTATTCTAATGGTAAGATTAAATCGCTGCAGATATTTTACGAGAAGTTTGAAAAAAAAGTTTTGCATGTTTTAAACAATTCTTCGAATAACTATTGCAAATTTCAGAAATTTTAAACATCACTGACAGACATGAAACATTGTTTACCAAACTATACTTTGAATATTAAAAGTAGCGAATTCGTTCTTACTGTTGTATTCTATATCGCTTCAAGAATTTTTAGTAGTCAACTATCAGTTAATATCAAGAAATATTTTTCAAACAGTTGTTGATGTTTTGTAGTTTAATGCCGTTTGGTGTTGGCAAAAGATCCTGTATTGGTGAGGTATTTGCCAGATCAAGAATGTTCCTCTTTCTTGCAACTTTGTTGCAAACGGCTTCAATCGAAAAACCAGATGATGAAATTGTTGCTGAGTTTGGGTTAGATGACCTGAATCCCGGTCTGGTAATGCAACCGAAACCTTATAAGATAAAATTTGTAATGCGACAGTGATTTCAAAAGGATAACACTACAGATAGTAATAATCATAGGGATGAACTATTATCGGCCAATATTTGGCATGTTAAAAATGAAACAAGAACATAACTATGTTTCTGTATACTCTGCTTACGATATATTTTGCGATATATTCGGGGTTTTGTTTAGTTTAAGATAATTTACTGTGAAGTCATGGTCAACATAACTTGAAACTTAGTATACGTGTTCATTATGATTTGCATTTGAAAAAAAAAATATATAATGAATTTTGGTTTGACCCAGATTTCATAGTATAAAATATGACAAAGTTTTATGTGAATGGATATTGTGTCCTTATAATGAATCATATTATTGTATACTCTTTTTATCTATTAAAGTGTAATATATAATGTAATAATAAATATATTGTATATATAAATCTAGTATATATTTTTCTCGACTGTCCAAATATGAAATGGAAAAAATTGTCCTTGGTTTACACATAAAATAAAAGAATAACATGGTAAGCTAAAGAATTAACATTTTACTGATTTCATTATGATTTAAAAATTTGGACTTGAGATTCGTGGTGTTCGTTATAATCTAGTTTTATGTAAACACTTATGTCAAGGTGGAAATAACTCAACGTTAGACAAAGAAGGACAGGAAACATACCCTAAATAGATAACAAAAATAAATTCTGTCTCCAAAATATTGCAAAACTACCCATTACCCCCTCCACCTCCAATAAAAAAAAATTAAAAAAAATCGAAAATCGTGATCTACAAGTGGCACTGTTGTATTGCAAGTTTGTATATGATACGGAGGAAAAAAATCTTGTATTTGCGAACAAACTAATACATTTCCTTTGCGCCAAAAATATAGGCAAATAGTTTGAATAATAGATATATATTGGAAAAAGACTTTGAATACTAATTTTACAACATGGTTTTGACAGCACAATATAACATATTCTTTATAATCACATTCCTCAATAAAACAAAATGAATACATAAAACACTGATTTTTTTTTAAGCTGAAATTTTACTTTTTGCTGGTCTGGACCGTTGTTGATTGTATCATTCAATGTTTTTATGATGGTTTTGCTGTTCACAACTGTTGTGATTCTGGCTTTGCAAACACTTTTGGGTACATCTATACGTCTTGTCTCTGTTTTTCAATTCATAAGATATTCTAAATGTGACGTCTTTCTTCCTCCTCTAATTGTCTCCGAATGAATTACGTCCATTTTGTCACCTCGAACATATGAACACTATACAATTTTATATTTCTAAATGACTCTCAGTTTTGTATGAAAAATGAATAAAAACTCACTTACTTACCCAAGTTGGGGATTACTGTACAACATTTCTTATAGCAGCCTCGTATTCATGATATAACTTACATTAAAAAGTTTCCATTATGTTTTTACTGTTAATTGGGGCAAATGAAATACAGCCCTGTGGCGCAAATAAAATAGTGCGTTTTCCAAAAATTAGCGCAAAAGCAATGCGGCCATGATCTATTATTGGAGATTATTACTTATATCATATTTATTTGATATATTATAACCATGTACTGCATTGCAATTTTAAAATGTTTTGTATTAATTAATCACGCAAGCGCACAAATACACAAAAACATACACTCATTCGGCGTCAGGCATGATGGATATTTTGAGTTTGTGTTTGAAATTTTGTTAAAATCAGTACTAGATTAAAACATGTCAGGTTGTCGATTGGGATTGAACTAATGACATAATTACAAGATATGATTGACCAATAACAAGGATTTATGATCTCGCTAGATTTGACTGATTTAAAGACTGTCTGGTATATACATTTGTTTTTTTTACAAATTCTTGAATATATGTATAAAATGACGCTTTTTGTAAATAACACACACACACACACATTCTTATAACAGTTATCGCCCCTAAATGACGATTTTAACCATTTGTTTTAGTTTTTTTTCTCTTTTCCATGAAAACTAAACTTAAAATATAAAAAGAGACTGCCATGACTAGATCTAAAATATGTCAATTGGCCAAACTTTTCAATCGACTCCTTATAAGAGTTTTTGCCATTCAAAGTAAAAAAAAATATAATTTTTTATCGTAATTTTGTGTTAAACTACAGCAGATAGAGAGAAATTGTAACAATCATGTATGATTAGCATCATAGGAGTTATTGTCCATCAATGATGTTTTATTCATTTTTGCAAATTCGGTGAAATTTATAAAAGATAAGGAAAAACTATAAACGGCAAAAAATAACAAGTACAATTAAGTCAGCTCAGCCGAAATTGTCACTCATCCTATTAATGATGTTTAACCTTTTTGCGTTCTTGGTAAAAGTATAGAATAGAAAGACAAAATGTAATCAACCAAAAATGACCATAAAGACAACAGTACCTGAAATCCCCCCGATTTTTAGTGGGGTTCGTGTTGCTCAGTCTTTAATTTTCTATGTTTTATTTTATGTACTGGTGTTTGTCTGTTTGTCTGTTTGTCTGTTTGTCTGATGGTCTTTTTCTTTTTTTGCCATTGTGTTGTCAGTTTATTTTCGACTTGTGAGTTTGAATGTCCTTTTGGTTTCTTTCGATAAAAAATTTAATGTCTGAGCGGGATTTCCTTTTAGTCTCCTTTGACTGCACCAGTATGTATACCAACATGAAGTTCAATGAACTCATTCAATCTGTTGGACGGGTTAATAACAGTGCAATAAAAGGTGATTATCCGAAAAAAATACCTAGCAGTGAAACAATTAAATCTTTAGTAGTCACGGTGTTGAAGAACAATTATTTTGAATTTAATTACCGATACTTTGTACAAATGATAGGCGCCAGTATGGGAAGTAAATGCCGCCAAGAAAATATGTGATATTAGAGCATTCGAAGTTATCAATGAAATCTTTGAAAAATATAAGTATAAATATAAGATTTTATTTTTCGGAAGGTATAGGGATAATGCGTTTATAATAGCTCATCACCTTTTATTAAAGTTAACTTATGAAATATCAAACAAAAGAAATATTTTTCTAGATACAGACATATATATATATATATATAAAGGGCAGAGGTTCATGAATATAAAAAGACAAACAGACAAATAATAGTACAGATGACACAACATAGAAAACTAAAGACTAAGCAACACGAACCCCACCAAAAACTGGGGGTGATCTCAGGTGCTCCGGAAGGGTATTAGGAACGTGAGATTTATCGTAACTGTGAATCTGCTCTCATTATCGAACTATCAGAGTTACTCCGCTTTAAACAAGAACCTGACAATCAGATACAATTAGTATTTGTGACCAAATATTACTTTTCATTGCGAAATATGAACAGAGCTTTGCGTGAACATTATAATAAACTACTTCGCAATGCGAAATGTCGGGGACTATTTCCAAAACCACAAATGAATGCGTATAGTAGACAACGAGAGCAACTTAGAATAATTACTGACTAGCGAGAACCTTAGAAAACTGACAGACTGGGTGAGGACCCCTGAAGAAGCACCCACCTGTCATTTGAGCCACGTAACATCATAGAGTTTGGGTTCTAGAGAATAGGCTACGTGGCTGTTAGGTACTTTCTGACATTCAAAATGTCGAACATTTCAAAGCTTTTTAAACAGTTGATTTGTTATTATGCGCTATGACTGTTGTAGTTCAGTTGTTGTCGTTAGTAACTGTCTGCCGACATTATTTTTCGTTTAATGTGAAATTTAGTTAAGGCCATTTTTCCCCTCTTTTGATTTTTTTTTTCAAATTTTGTTATCTTAGGCTTTATATAGCTTATACCAGGTATAGATTTGCACATTGTTAACGACCGATCGTTTTTTTTAACAATCATACCACATCTGCTTACTTGTATACTGAGAACATTCTATTGGTATCATTTATTCAAACAAAACCAAAAAGAACAACCTTAAACTAATGTATCATAAAATTTGAAAGAAATTAAAGGTTGGTTTATAATACTAGTACTCTTTAGGTATATTCTGCCTCTAATTTTTATTTCACACTTCCGTACCGGAATGCATAGCTGCTTGGTTGAAAAATAGGATCGAGATTACCGCATTCTGTCATCGAACAATTAAAAACATCGGACACTTAGTAACAATATCCTGGAAAAAAATCGTTTTCAACAGTTCCGTACTCCTCACCATTACAATTAGCTGCAGTATCAGCGGGAAATTGCGGCGAACATGTTGCTTCAAAATGATTAAAGATCAACTGTCTTCTTCTGCAAGTTTACTCTTCTCTACGGCTCCTTCTATATAATGAATACAACTATCAAACTTTTCTCCCATTTTGACGCAAATTGACCCTTTATAAGTCCCTCTTGTTCGTTACCCCCCCTCCCCCCTCCCCTCAAGCATCTTCTGTCGAAACAGATCCTGTTATCAACTTGTCATCGGGATTTCGCCATCCAAGCATACAGATATCTTCTTTGTCTTTGTACATACGAACAAGCGTTAAATCAAGAGTGTTGACCAGCCAAAAGCAAGGTTGTTCTAGTGCATATAAACTTTTCACAACGGCAGATTCCCTTTTTCTGTAAATGCCACTTTGTTGTTAAGAGTACCATATCCGTATGTTATAAAGAATGTATTCCCGTCAGCATCACAAAAAATCCAAGCGTTCCATAATCCCGAGTATGGCCAGTTGTTCTACTTATTTTGCTTCCTTGTTTCAAATGATAATGATCCACTTTTGGATCTCCTTGGCCATGGTTTTACTATCAATTCAATGTAATTTTCTGATATGAATTAGGCAATGTAATCACGGAGGGCTGAATCAAAAATTTGCATCTTTCCCATTTTAAATGAAAATCCAGAAACATCGGGATTTCTATAATGACAATTTAGACATTATAATGTTGGTACTTTTGTTGATATTCTTAGAAGTCTATATAACTAACCAAAAATAACCCTCAATCAATTCTGACATGTTGTACTATAAATTTGATGGTTTCTACTTTAAAAATGACTTTTCATTACAAAAAAAAGTTAGGTTACGTTATTCAATATAGTTTGTGACGGTGAAGCAGGAGTCTTATATTCGACAAATATGATGATTTGATTGATATGAATTGATAGATTTTTGTAACAGATCCAAGGATAAGTATTTATTGTCCTATATAAACTATTGTCCGATGATTCCGCCT